ATGTTAAAATTTTGTCTTGCATCCTTTTATTCGGATTTCGCTGTATTTTTAGTTTTAATTATTGTGTTTTGTGGCAGTGTAGATATATTGTGACAATGTATATATTGTGGCAGTGTATTTCAGACATTGAATTTTTGGCAGTGTATATATTGTGGCAATGTATTTCAGACATTGAATTTTTGGAAGTACATATTGTGGCAGTGTAGAGAGTATATATTGTAGTGTATAATTACCATAAAAAAATAAAAGGTCACGGCTTAAAATGAATTCTGCTCTTTTTTTTGGCAGTGTTGTATGTGTTAGGGCACTACATTCAATCTCAAACATACTGTGGCAGTGAAGAGCAGAGAATTTCATACTTATTTATAATGTGGCAGTGAAGAGTATACATTGCAGTATAATTCTAATTTTGGGAGTTTATTTGAGGACAAAAACGGGAATTCATCCCAAAAACTAATAGCACTGCTATTTCGAGTATTATAAGGCTATTAAAGTGCTATTTTCGTATTTCTCCCTTTTTATTATATGCTAATAATTAACGTATTGACTTATGTTTTATATCCTAATAATTAACCAATGTTATTATGAGTACTGATTTATTATATGCTAATAATTAACGTATAAACATATGTTATATATGCTAATAATTAACCAACGTTATTGTGAGTACTGATTGGAAACTCCTGAAATTTTTGCAAGAATAAGTTACTCTCATTTTTAACCTTTTTTGTGTAAGCGTAAAGTTAATATAGCTATTATTTTTATAATAATTAACGTGAGTAATATAAAATGGTAAGCTTGAAGTTAATATAATTATTATATTTATAATAATAAACATATTCAAAAAGGTAAGTTATACAATTCCAAAGCATAAGTTTTTAATAAAGGTAAGTTATACAATTGCAAAGCATAAGTTTTTGAAAATTGGAACTAATTAGAAAACGTAAGTTAAACAATTATACACCCAATTTCAAAAAAATTAACCCTTCTTATTATATATAGGGAAAATTATCACCAATAATCCCACCTTTGTCCGCTCTTTCAAAAATAATCCCACCTTTCCGAGTGATCAGTAATAAGCTAAGGTTGTACCGTCTCTGTCAGAATTGGGCATCCGTTTAAAGTTTAACGTACGACTAACGGAATCTGATTTGGCAATTACACGTGGATATTACATGTATTATCTTCTTAACCCTTCCTCCTCCTCCATCGAAACACCTCTGCCCTATCGAAAAGAACTCCAAAAGCCCCTGACCTCCTTCCCCACAGAAAACATCTCAAAACCCCATCAAAATTTTGATTCCGTGCTAACCCTAATTGGATTAAGAGTTCTCAAGCCGTCGCAGCGCCTAAGAGAAAGAAATAATAATTTGAATTCAGGCAAACACTATTCTTTTATTTTTTGTTCAATTGAAGCATAATACAACTGAATTGATTTTACACGACACTGCATATGTATTCAGAGATGAAGCTCATATACAATTATGGTGGAGTTTTGAAATTTGGGAGCGTTACAGAGTATGTTGAGGGTAATATACGTGTATTTGACAATTTAGATTCCGATAAAATTGGGTATTTTGATCTTCTTGATTGGGCAAAAGAGTGTGGAGATTATCCTCCTGTGTCTGAGATATATTATGCGAAACCTGGCTGTGAGTTAGG